AGTCTGTACACCAAAGTGTTGGTCACAATGTCGTAAGTTCGCCCCCGACGAGAATAATTATAAGCGCACGGCAGCCGTTTTTTGCTGACTCAGGCATATGTACCCTGTTTTTTGAATTGAAAAAAAAAACTTCTTTCAAAGAGACGGAGTGAAGACATTACTGCTAGTTTTTGTACTATGCTCCGAGTTGGATAGGCAGGCGATGCCGAGGCGAGTATTCGCGGCGGGGGTGCTCTTTCGCCGGGTGGTCATCACTTAGTCATATGTCCAGTTGTGCAGTTGCAGATGTGCAAATTGCGGCGAACTGGATAGAGATGCGCCCCGACACGATGATAGGTTGCGCTGATCACTGTAGGTGACGGTTATGTGTGCCTGAGGTTCGGGAAAATGAGTTCTCCAGATCTGCGGCGCGGTCTACTAAATTGCCCGTATGAGCCTACACCATATACCGCCATGGGGCTGCTAACGATCTCCCAGCGTTCGAACATGTCAAACGACAGGCCAAGAGCGGAATGGTACGGCTGAGCCACGGCTATCTCCTGCACCCAGTATCCCACCACGTCCGTGAGTGATCGAAAACTTCGCCATCTGGGGTCTTCTTCCGATGCTATACCGGTGACAATCCCCCTGTCATCTCAGCTCTATGTAGCAGCTTGATAGAGTTGCTCCACCTTGTCGCGCCGTGTATGTCTCGTACCAAGTATGAACAGGCTCGGGCTATCATCGGCCTAACATTTATCAGGCGTCTGATTACGGGACTATCGGAGCGGGGCGCAATTTGAAGAAGCCTTCGAAGTTTTGTCAGTCGCGCGAAGTATCTTTGACACACATAGACACTCAGAGCAGGACGCACGCGGATCCAATAACAGGTCATCTCGCCTGTAGGGACGGAGAGCAAAGACAAGGTCCTCCGATCGGGGCAGGGTAAGCAACACGGATTTCTTTCCCACGATACCCGACGAAGATTGCCGACTCGGATTCAGACGCACTTTGACGCGTTGACGTCTGTGGTCGCGTTCGAGGTCCCAGCCTCGCATCAGGACATCTCCACGTCTGCTATTCTCAATTCGAGAGACGAGATCAAGCCCCCAATAGACATGCTTGCGGCATCCCGACACGACCGGGATCAGGGTTGTGCATGAGTTCATGTGCCTAACGCCACGACAGATCCCAGGCCGCTGAAACTTCATTTTTACTGTATAGCGCAGTGCTGTTAGGGGACTAGGCTGCCCTTCAAGTCATCGACGATCCGCATTTTCGCGCCCAGTCGGTCAAACCCAATACTTTCACCGGGATTCCCCGCCACGGGTATACTCCAAGGCCGCACGAGAACGGCGCGCCGTGCGTCGCCACATGCACAAGCATCGCGGCGCCCGCTCTTTGACTTGGTACGCGCTGCAAGCTGCGGTGCCGAGCTAGGATTGCAGCCGAGGAAAAGAAGATGGCTATCTCCCTGGTGGGCCAGTACTTACTCTCACGAGGCTTACGTTACTCCTTGAAATCCACTTCAGCTGCTGCTTTCAGATGGCAGATGCCCGCTCGGCCATCCCGTTGTGTTGCGGCTTAGACTGGCCGTTGAACGTAACTTTACCGTCAGTGTTGAGCGGCTCCTCTCATACAGGCTCAGAGATGAACTGGGCCGGGAAAATCTCACAACTCTGGCATGTTTCATACGCTTTGACGTAATTCTTCTGGCCTTGTCGCTCCTCAAAGGTTGCGAATCGCATGTAGCTTGAATGACAGGCCTCCCCATAACACGATCGTGTCTTATCGTGAGCATTGATATTGATTGATCGTGGGTGTGGGAAAGTAGCAGTCACTATGGAGGAACCTGCTCCGATGCTGGCACGCAGCTACATTCGGTACATATTCACAACAACATGGCCTCCCGACACCCTTGATACTTCGCGACGTCGCATCGCCCTGCCTACCTGTCAAACTGGCAGCGCTCAGGGTGCGCGGTTTGCTCATCCTGATGACCAAACGGGTTTCGTTATCTGCTGCAAGTACGCTCCTGTCGCAAACATCACGCATTTTTGTAGAGGGATCCACGTCATCATTCATGTGGCGCATGCTTCCGTTATTCTCTGAACTTGGCAGCGGATGGTCTTCTATACACGATAGCAACTGTGTTTGTGTATTTATTGAAATTTTTACGCAATTTTAGTTCTGTACGCGTTCCGCTCTTTGCGATGACCGTATTTTGTTCATTGCAAAGCACTCTGTGCCTGGCCTGGAGTTTAGGGCAAGCGCACTCGTGCGCGTCAATCTTCCGGGGCTTAAATGTCTGTGCTTACCGCCTGTAGACGCCATGCCAGCTGCCAGCCGACTAGCATCGCCGCCATCACATCTGGCACAGCCAATGCTCCGCACCAGTAAGAGTATTGTGGTGCGGCTAGACAGCGGTGCCACAGAGACGACGGGGAACAAGAGTGAGATCTAACCCTGGCGTCTTGGAGTTGCCGTCGAAACTCGAACCGTAAGGATACTGTGCCCGATATCTGGACCGGAGGTTCTCAGCTCGTCTGCGCTTCGTGCTGGATGACAAGGACCGAGCTGGACGCGCTGTAAAATTTGCTGGACAATACCCAGCGTCTACAGACGGCTTCCTCCAGCGTTTCCAGATGGCTGGTAAGTTGCTGATGCACCTACAGCGCGTCACATCCTGCATCATCCCGGCTCAAGTCCGCGACCTGCTATCGCCGTGTACATCGTGCGAGACGAACATGCCCAGTGAGTTTGATTCTGCTTTTACTTATCGGTCGCAGGATTGTGGACTGACGCTCCACCAGACACGGAGCCGAAGGAACACCGTTCATGATGATCCTATTGTCATCCAATGCGGGCCTAGTCAAGTCGTACGTACTGTAAGCAGGCTGACACAATGCTGGGCCTGTCCTTGCGTCCCAAAGGTGTTGCGTCCCCAAGGTATGGAGTCGCGCACGGCGGCGCCAGAGACCCTGGGATCACACGCCCATCTTGGCCTCGCTCATCAGTGCAACTTGGCTGTACCCTTCCCGTCATAGCATTACCGCGGAGGCACGTCTGCGAGTTTTGGTCATGGCATCTCGATGGTTTTCGTACCATTTTCTCCTCCCATCATTGCGCTGCCATCGGGCCTATGGACACCGCTCAACCTTGCCAATGCGGTGCTCGTTATCGCCGCCGCGGAAGGTTGTAATTTGCAAAATGATGCTGTTGAAACATTCGAGTGCCACAGTGTCAGCTCAACCTTGTTTGATGGTGCATTCCACTACAGTTAGAAACGAGAAACACATATAACACTCTCGGTACGCTGCCGCACCCTCACCTGCTGTGAACTCAATTCACGACAGCATGAGCGACACAGTCCCAACCACCCTCCCTGAGCTCCTCCTCATCCGTGCTCAAGAATCAACTTCCGCGCACATCGGCTATCTCGATGCTGAAGGCACCGTGCAGAAGGAGCTCTCCTATACAGACTTGTATCGTGATGCCTTGAAAACATCCCAGCTTCTCGTGGCGTATGGCTTGCGTCCTGAAGCCGATATCGTCATCACGTATTTTGAGGATCACGAAAGCCATATTCGCCTGTTTTGGGCCTGCGCTCTCGGCAAGTAGCATTCGCAGCATCGTCTATGCGACACTGCTGACCACACCACTCTCACAGCCGGAATACCTGTCTGTCCGCTTCCACCTCTGCATCCGGATCGCTCCCGGCAAGCCCTTTTCCTCAACCACCTGTCGAGCGTCTTCCGGCGGCCCACCCTTATTGCCAATAAGCAGACCATCGCCGACGTCCGCGGTGTCGCTCCTGACCTCCGAGCCTTGTCGTTCGCAGACATCGAGCATCTCAGCATCGATGCTGATACCCTCGCGTCAGTCTACCCATCTCGTCCGATCTCGCCGGACGATATTGTGTGTCTGATGCTGACCTCTGGATCGACGGGCAACTCAAAGGCCGTTGCCCTCCGCCACTCGAATCTTTTGTCCAGCGTCCGCGGAAAGATTAAGCACCACAAGACGACGTCTCGGTCGCGGTTTCTGAACTGGATTGCCTTCGACCACGTCGCTTGTACGTCCGAGGTGCATCTCCATGCGCTTGCAGCCGGCGCTAGGTAAGGTTTCCCACAGACGCCCATTGATCCGTACTGATCATGCCGCCGCTCCAGCCAGTACCATGTCGCGCCGTTTGTCATCATCCAGCGCCCGCGCAACCTGCTCGAGTGGTGCAGCCGTCTGCGCATCACATACTCGTTCAGCCCCAACTTCCTCATCGCCCAGCTCTGCCGCGATGCCACCGCAGCGCCGTACAGTGCCCATGAGCTGGACCTGTCCGCGCTCGTCGCCATCATCTCTGGAGGCGAGGCCGTTCCGATACAGACAGCAGTCGAGTTCGCGGATCTCCTTGAGCGGTATGGCGCGCCTCGCAACGCCCTCCGCTCAGGGTTCGGCATGAGCGAGACTGGGGTAAGCACGTAACACAACTTTGACTTCTTTCACAGACTTATCGTGTTGCTGTTAGGGTGGATCCATCTACGACACCCGCGACATTGTCCGCAACGCAAGTGACACTACCGAGAAGTACCTTTCTCTTGGTGAATGCTGCACTGGCATAACGGCTCGCGTCGTTTCACGCGACACCGGCGAGGTCTGCGACGCATTCGTGCCTGGCCAGCTCCAAGTCAAGGGTCCGACTGTCTTCCGCGAGTACTACAACAACCCCAAGGTGACGGCCGAGTCGATCACCGCAGACGGGTGGTTCACGACCGGGGACAGTGGGATGTTCGACAAGGACGGGAACCTGCACCTCGTCGGACGCGACAAGGATCAGATCAACATCAACGGCATCAAGCACCCCTGCGCAGACGCCGAGCACTTCATCGAGGAGAGCGATATCGATGGCGTCTCGCATTCTTACATCTTCGTTTGCCCCATGCGCCTGCCCGGCGGCGATACTGACACCTACGCAGTCTTCTATCAGCACCGGATCCGAGTTGAAAACGAGCTGAGCGAGGAGGATGTTGCCGCCCTCTGCGAGGCGAATCGCGCGATCCGGAAGCGGTGCATCGTCTTCTGCTCTCAGGGCCCCCACGTCGTCCTTCCCCTTCCCCGCAAGTCGTTCTCGAAAAGTGCTCTCGGGAAAGTCTCCCGCTCTGCTCTGATGGCCGCCTATCTGAAGGGCGACCATGCCGCGCTGGAGCAGCGCATCCGGGCTGCTGCTGACCGCATGTCGGGATCTACCCCGCTGAACCCTGTCGAGCAAATCGTCTTCAAAGTCGTCGCCGACCTCCTGAACATCGACGTCTCGCGCCTGAGCCGCTCCGCGAGCCTCTTCGACATGGGTGTGTCGTCGATTCACCTCGTGCGACTGAAGCACCTGCTTGAGCAGGAGCTTCACATCAATGAGATTGCCATCATCGACATGCTCAGCTACCCCGACCTTGGCGAGCTGTGCGACTACATCGGGGAGGTGACGAAGGCCAGTGCCACGGAGGGAGCGCCAACCTACAATCCACTTGTCTGCATGAACTCGCACGGCTCGAAGCCACCCGTCTTCCTCGTCCACCCTGGCCTCGGCGAGGTCCTCGTCTTCGTGAGCCTCGCGCGCGCCCTCAACGACGATCGGCCCGTCTACGCACTGCGAGCGCGCGGCTTCGGCGTCAACGAAGAGCCCTTCGACTCGTGGGACGAGATGGTCGAGACCTACACCGCCGCGATCGAGGAGCGCCAGCCCGAAGGTCCGTACTACCTCGGCGGCTACAGCATTGGCGGCGCCATCGCCTTCGAGATCGGGAGGAAGCTTGAGTCCAGGGGCAAGCACGTCGCTTGGGTCGGCATTTTCAACCTGATGCCGCACTTCCAGTTCCGCATGCACGACTTGCCGTGGCTCAAGGTTCTGCTCCACCTGTTCCTGGTCCTCGAACTCATCTCGGAGAAAGACTTCGTCCCCATCAAGGATCAGTTGCTCGACGCGTTCCCCGACGTCACTCCAGGGGGAGAGGAACCGGCCGGGTCCACTCAGGTCGTCCAATGGCTCATCAAGCATTCCGACCAGCAGCACTACCAGCAGCTCCAGCTTCAGCCTGATGACATGCGCCGCTGGGTCGGAGTCATACGCGGGATCGTCAAAGCCGGCCGCGACTACGTGTCGCAGGGTCCGCTTCGCGGTGGGTTGATCACCGTCCTCTGCGCCGCTCCGCTTGCGTCGCTGGGCACGCGCGAGGATTACAAGCAAAACCGTCTGTCGGTCTGGAAGATCTACGGCAGCAACGGCGTCGAGCTCGTCGACCTTGATGGCGCGCACTACACGATGCTGTCGGACGATAACGTGCACTCGTTCGCGAGCAAGATGCGGGCTGCGATGGAGCGTGCGCCCAAGGTCCCCACACCTCCCCCGTCCTTCGTCTCAAAGAACCAGCTCGTCTTCGACAAGATCCCCGTCGTCGACTGGGCCCTGTCCGAGTCTGACCCTGCTGCTTACTACGAGCAGCTTCGCACCGCATTCGAGGAAGTTGGCTTCGGCGTGTTCACCAACATCCCCGGATTCGACGACGAGTTCCAGAAGAAGATCTTTGCCTATGCCGAGCAGCTCTGCAGCAAGCCGCAGGCATGGAAGGACGCTATCTCGGCCGCCAAGTCGAATGCGCTGCGGGGTTACTTCCGCGGCGACGATACTGCAGGAGACAGCAAGGTTGGTCGGCCGTATCTATGAGTATGCAAGAGTCTTATGCAATCTTCCCTAGGCACACTCCGAGGGGTATCGGTTCGGAACCGAGCTCCCAGAGCCGGTGGCACAAGGGGACGAGGAAGTTCCGTTCTACCGCAAGTTGCAAGAAGGTGCGCACAACGATGGCAAACTATGTATCCGCAGGCCCACAGGCTGACTGTGTCTTTCTAGGCCCCAACCAATGGCCCGCGGAGGCCGACTTGCCAGGCTTCCGATCAGCCTTGGAGACGCTGTTCGAACGCTACATCTCGTTTAACCTCCAGCTCAACAAGCATATATGCACCCTTCTCGACATCCCTGAGGTGGTCCTGAACGAGTATTACACGGATTCTGTCAACTTCACGAGCGTGATCTGGCACTACCTGCCGCTCACGCCCGAGATGCGGGCGACGGCCAAGAACGGATTCGTCAAGGGCATGCATGAGCACCGTGACCCGTCGACGCTGTATAACTGCCTGATCCAGTCGCGTCCTGGACTGCAAGTTCAGAATCATGCTGGGGAGTGGATCGATATCCCCCTGGTCAAGGGCGGTGTCGTCTGCAACATTGGTAAATAACCCACTTCTTACAGAAGATGCGAGTATCTGACGAAGGGCTTGTTTACAGGTCTGCAGCTGATGAAGCTGTCTGGCGGGAAGTTTGTCGCGGCGACGCATCGCGTGAACACCCTGGGGATTGACACGGATCGGTCAGTGTACCCCGCCTACTCAGCGTTCCCGCTTAACTAACCCTACGCTCGCATAGCTACACCATTCCATACGCGCTCTCCACTCGACTCGAGAAGCCTGTGGTGCCTCTGCCGAAGTTCTCACTCGGTGACGCTACCAAGTACGATGTTCCTCCGAATCCCAAGCTTGTGAAGCTGCTAAGCGTTTCGGACCCGCTGGTACGCGGCGGTTACGCCTGGCTGACGCTATTCCCGGCGGCTGCGAAGAAGCTGTACCCGAAGGAGTGGGCTGAGGCTAAGGAGATGGGTATCCTCTGAGTAATGATCGTACTATCTATTCATCTTCGTGGTTAGAAATTGTATTGCTATGTTGTGCTTTGTACCTGTACTTCCACGTGTCCATCCTCCAGTGTAATATCTCGCGAATTACGCGTACAATACATCATGAAACAGCAGCTGACTATGGAACAAGGACGTCTACTACCACGAACCACTACACGCGCGAAGCTCAAGTGCGTCTGGCATCATAATACGAGGGGTTTTAATCTCAACCAGGCCGCGGCCGTAGATTAGTTGATTGTTATTAGATGCCAGAGGTAGCCAGTGCGTTCCTAGACCTCGCGGGTTAAGACTAAGAATATGGATTGGCAGGGGCCACCACAGTCAATGTGAATGTACTCCATGTTGTCAGGTACGTCGCAGTGGCGGCACAGA